AATTAATAAAAAGGTGTATTTATTGAAAGTGTGAGTAAAGTTTGAATTCTAATTAAGGATAAAAGAAACATTAGTAAGATTAATGGAAAATGTTAAGAGAAAGACTAAGGCTTGAATTAGATAATGGTACCTTTAGTTGATATGGTTATGTTTTGTCATAAGGACACAATTGCAAAACTCCGTAGTGACCACCTTGTAATTTAGAAGTACCTAGATTAAAGGCTTATTTATGGAAAATTTGAAGTCCGAAGACCAAAATAGAAGAAATTGAGGCATCCGAATAAGACAATTAAAGGTTTAAAGACTATAATGTGAAGTGCTAGTGTATTGGGGGATTTAATAATGGGCTTTAGGAGAGTATTTCCAAGCAAGATAAATATTAAAATTTAGAGAGAAAGAGACAGAGATTAGTTGGGGATGGAGAAGAAGAAATGAGGAGGAAGAAGAAAAACCTTGATGCATTTAATGAACCACCTTGAGATCAATCTAAGTGTGACACACTTGGCTTAATCTAGAGGCAAAACCCAAGCTATAAATAGGGATAAGGAAGAAGATGGAAGGTTAGACACCATTAGAGCTCCCAAGAAACCTTAAAGAGAAAGACATTCCCAAGCACCTAATCACCACTCCAAATCACACTAATTAGTGTAGAAACACTATAAATTAACCTCTAAATCAACTTAAAGGATCAAGCAAGGAAAGGGAAAGAATTCTCAACTTGGCCGAATTTCTTGGAAGGAAGGAGCCAAGGTAGAAAGAAGGAAAAATGAAGCAAACGCCAAGTAAGATAAGTGTAACTCCTTACCTACACCATAAGAATTAATGTTTTGAGTAGGGATGGCAATTTGCATTCGCCACGACCCACTCGATCAACGTGGGGATTCCCCGAGTTGACTAAGGAACGGGGCGGGGCACCTCGCCTCGCATTGACTTTGAATGAAGATGGGGTGGATATGGTATTTGTTTGCCCCACCCCACCCTTTTCTTTGGAAATTATAATTATTTTAACGATCGAGACCATTGAAACGTAGCATATGCATGCTTAAGTGTGTTTAGCTTAATGCTTGATTAATTTTCTTGATGTCGATGCTTAAATTTTTGCTATGCGTCAAGACATGCTAAATTCGATGTCGAAAACAACGAGTGTTTGGACATGCTAGTTTCGTCGCCAAAATCGCTACGCCAAGACAAGCTTATTCATTGACGAAACTACAATGTCAAGACTTGTCGCTCTTGTTAATGAGTTTCATGTTTTAACATATGTTTGCTATCAAATGCCATGTTGTACTTGTATGCTATGTGAAAATGCTATCGAAAATGATTTTTCTCTTGTTTCTCCCATTATCTCTTTTCTTTAATAGTTTGGTTGTAATGATTCCAAATCTGTTGATTTTACATATCACCGTATTTAATGGTTCTTAGAGTTTAAATAATTTCAGATTTAAATTTTTTATTTTAGATCAGCTAATTTTTGGGTTATGTCCTTAGTTATTAGGTTTGATCCATTGAAGGATTTTTGTTTTTATTTTTGTCTTTGCTAATCTATTGATTTTTTCATCATTCCGGATCAAGTCTTTGTTCATGCTTGGGCTGTCAAGGCCTGTTTCAATATTTTATTTCCCTTGATTTTTCAATTTTTCTTTTTTGATTTTTTTACTCTTTGTCTTTTTTTTTTATGTGATGAAATTAAAATAAGACAATAAATTTGACATGTTGAGAACTCTGGAGGCTAGTTGACTATTTTAATTTATATATGTGAGGCCGTGTATGTGACATATCGTCTTGCATCTTTGCATGATTAATTGTCATCATATTAGTCTAAGTGTCTAGATTTAGGTTATGAAACCAACATTGTTTCTATGATGGAGCTTCTTATTTTATTTTTCTTATTTTTTATTATTACTAATATTAATACAGTTATTATTTATTATTAAAATAACTTTGCATTTCAAACATAAGACCAAAGACCGTTGGTCTTTTTCATTAAATTTTGTAATATTTTTATCATTGAATTTTTTATTCAATGAATATATTCAGTTCTGCAACAACTCTTTTTTTTTTTTTTTTTTGGGCTATATATATGGGAGGTTGATTTTGGGAAAAAAAATACATCTTCTTATTTTTGTTTTTTCTAATCTTCTATTGAAAAAGCCATATTATTTTAATTGTTTTTGTTTCTACATTTTTGGATAAGAGTGGTGCTATTTTATTTTGATTTTCAAAATCTTACAAGTAGTGTGAAGAGGGAAATCACTAAAAAATGTCTTTTTATTAACTATAATAAAATAAAATAAAAATTACAATAAAAAAATTTATAGCCCTAAAAAAATGAAATATAATAAAATTTTAATAACTACAATAAAAAAAATTACAAAACAAGGATTAAAATAAAAATAAAAATCACTAAAAGATAAAAGAAGAGCTTAAAAAATTTAGCAAGAGGAAAAAAAAACTAATTTATTATAGAACTAAAAATCAAATATAATAAAATTTTAACGATTAAAAATAAAAAAAGTTAAAAAATAGGGACTAAAATATAAAATTAATTTAAAGCAAAAAAAGAGGCTTGAAACAACAAGAGAAAGAAAGAAAGAAAGAAAAACAAAAAAACCGAGCTACAAGCAAGGCAAGGCAAGGGCCGGTGGGGGGGGGGGGGGAGAGAGAAAAAAATTTAACGAGTAAAACGTTACAATACTTTATAGGCAAGGGAAGGCAAAAAAAATAAAAGTGAACAGTAAAACGCTACAATATTTTAGCATTTTGTTTTAGTTTTTTTGTAATTAGCTAATTGCTTGTGCTAAGTCGCCAATTGAACGAGTCTATTAAAATATATCGAAATCAAAAATAAAAAAACTAACTTTATGCTTTTTAATGAAAATTTTGTACTTAATTAACTCTTTCTTGTGTTTTTTTTTAATAGATTTTCTTCATAAAAAAATACATGATTTATTTTTCTCTATGTATGGATTCTTAATTAAAAAATTTAAAATTATTTATTATCCTTATTAAATATTGCTAAGAATACCATTCCTTTTTTTTTTAATTAAAAATGATGATACCTTACTTTTCAAATAGAATTCTTTATGGTGCTTTTTTTTATAACATAATTTTAATTATTTTATTTGAAAATTTTTGATTTTAAAATATTTTAAAAATAAAAATAAAAATCTCAAATGTTAAGTGTTATGTGTGTATATGCATAGTCAATTTTTAATAAAAAAATATTTATAAATTTATTTCGATAAATTTTTATTATATAAAAAAAAGTGAATAAAACGCGTGGATTCAATTTTTTTTTCCCTTTTAACAATTTTTTTACTTACATGTTTGGTCTCCATGTGTAGGCTTCATACATATAGCAATCGATTATTTCTTCTGTTTTGTGTTTTTTTTTTCTTTTCTCTTTTAATTTACGAAATCGACAATCACCCAAATCTATATCTCTCTTTAAAACAAGAAAGGCAGGGCAAGAGAAGGATGCAAATAAACAGTATAAAGCATGGATAATGGCTTGCTTAATTGTTTAAAATTATCCTTCAGTATTTTATTCACCAGCCTCAAACATTTATCCTTTTGTTTAATGAAACTATGAAATACACGATCCTATTCTATAATATAGTTGTCTTAAAAAAAAAAATCTAATATTGCACAGATAATTTTGCTAGTAAATTTTATTCATCATAAAAAATGTCAGTTATTAGTTTTCAATATTGAACCTAAAATCAATTTAATAGAACTCCAGGAAAAAAAAATGCTTTTGTTAAAAAAGTAGATAATAAAAAAGTCTCATCTCACCAAGTGCTCCCTTAATCACATGATCTATCTTTTAAGGATTAATTATTGTATGAGTCTTTTTACAATTTTATTTTTTGTTTTTATCATTTTTCTTTACTTTTCTTCATCTTAAATTTGTTTCTTTACGTTTTATTTTTATCTTAATCTTATTTTTTTTGTTAATTTTTGTGCTAATTGTGTTAAATAGTAGTACTGTTAGCTCCATAGAATTAGAACACATGTCAACTTGTTTTTTTTGTTTTTTTTTAATCTAGTTCCTCAACTCTTTTCTTATCGAATTTAAATAAATAAATTAAAAAAATATCTGATCATTCTCTCTAAAAACTAATAATAAAAGATAAAAATAAAAATATTTTTTATCAAAAAATTTCTTATATTTTGTTACAAAATTTTATTAATTTGACTTAAAAATAGGAATATAAATTTTTATAAGAAAAAATAAGGAGTACATCTTCAAATGCCCTCGACTGAACGTGAGCAAGCCATGTTTTTAAAAGGTACTTTAGGCAAACAAATTAATAATATGTAAGTCCCATGATATTTTCTAATAATTTGGTTGAAAAAATTCACTAAAAAAGCAAATTAAAAACTTATTTAAAATATAAAAATATAATTGATTTATTTTAAAATATAAGGATATATTGTACACTGACATATTATATAAAAATAAATTATATCATTTCTCTTAATTTTTAATTTAATTAAAAAGAATGAAAATTAATGAAATTCAAATGCGCGATTGTTTATTTATTAAATTTTTGATACTATATTAAAAAACTATTTCAATAAAAAAACTCATGGATGAAGATGTTTATTTGAAAAACATCAACAAGAATAAATAAACATTTCTTTATTTTTCTTTCCTTCATAAACATGTCGTCTATGTATGTACATTTTGCGATCAAACCTACGTTGGAACTTAAACCACTGTACCAAAAACTCAAAAACTGTTGAAGAAAAAACCCAACCGTCATGAACCCACAACGGTCATTAACTGCCACTCGCGCCTCCCTTGAAATTCCCTTCAAATGCAAAAACTTCGTCACGAAAATCTGCATATTCCATTCTCGTATTCATCATCAAGCACCAGACTCTGCTACTATCTGGTGCTTGATAACCCTGCTACCCTCTTAAGAACAGAAAGGAAAACCACTGATTGCTTGTTTATGTAGTGTTGTGTTGACTGAATGGCAGATCCCCGGTCCATGGTACCCTACCATGACCCATATGACAGCCCTTTAGATTATGAATATCTCAATTTTATGAATGATGCAAATCCAAGCCTTGCAGGTTTATCCTCTGACAATGAACTCGCTTCATTAATTCCTGAATCATCCGGTGGCAATGAAAATGCAAATGCCAATGCCAATGCAATTGCAATGGCAAATGCAAATGCAAATGCCAATGCCAATGCCACCATTTCGGATCCTAATGACCCATATGATGATCCAATGCTTTTGAATTTTTGTTATGGAAGTGATAGAGGGGTATCTCAAGAGGCTGGTTCGTCACATCAGAATCAGGGACAAAGTTCTTTTGGACCAATTCCTAATGCACCACTTCCTAATGCGTCATTTCCTAATGCATCAATTCCTGATGGACGAGGAAGAAGTGAAGAGATTTTCCATAACGGGAGGCCTATTGCTGTTTGGCCACCTGAACCAGTACCTTTTCACTGCACTTGCTGTCATGTTCTTAGAGAAATAATCCACACTGATGGTTTGTTCTACATAGTATTGCTTTCCTTCTTTCTTTGACAATTCTTTTTTTTTTTTTTCATGGTTTCTGACTTGTAAAGTTTATCTATTCTGTGGTGGCAGGCAACTATACTACAAAACTTGAGATACATGGGAGAATTGGTATCATCTGTCATGCTATTCTTGAGAACAGGGATCATGCCAAGGCAGTTCATCCTCAACATTATATGTTCGAGTAAGTTTTAATTAATCTAGTTTAGTTGGTTTCGTTTCATCTGATTTAGGGAAGTGTGATTGATCCAATGCAATTAAACTATGGGCCGAAAGAAAACAAGTACTTGATTCTTTCTGAAATTGTAAACGCTGTGGTTTCATACATTATGCAGTTTCTGCAAGAAAAGCACGGAGGACGTGAAGGATTTTCTGCAGAAGTATTGTTATGATAGAAGGCAGGCAGGCTTCATTATGGTCCAAGATCCACTCTCATTCTTTTATGAATCCCTTTGTGTTGGATTTGAGTGGAGTGAAGATTTGAATAATGATGACTTCTACGATCAATCTCCATCAAATTCAGGTTATTATCTCTCTGCATGAACTAGAAGTGATACATTTATTTACTGTTGCAATTACAAACTCCTTAGAAACTGGTTAACATTTATTCAGTTTCCTTAGTGTTCAAAAATTGAATTTTTTGTATATGGCAATAGCATGAGACTTAAAAGTTCAAATTTTAGCAGGGGAACAACAAGCAACGGATCAGACAGTGGGAGAGACTGAGACAGAGATAAGAACGACTCGCAGCAATCTTGCACTACAGGTTGTCGTTACTATCTTCACCCACAATACAGGCCACTTCTTTCATTTGCATTGTAATATGAAGATAGATGAAAACAAATAAGACCTTTAGTGAATTGGAATTAACAATCATTTACGTTGTTCTTTTAGTACTAAATTACTATACGAATAAGTTTTATGAGGTTGAGGATTAGTGCAGAGGGAAAGAGCAGGAAGGTTGACGTTGGATGACTTTAGACAATACTTCCATCTCCCCATTGAAGACGCCTCTAGGAGGTTGAACTTGTGTCCTACTGTAGTGAAGAAGATATGCCGGAAGTTCGGGATGAATCGATGGCCATACAGAAAGGTCTGCCTCGATCGGTCCTCTCAGTTTTCATCCTCTTTTTTGTTTGCCATAATTTTTCATACCATTGAATTTTCTTTCCATCCTTTTCTTTTGGTTACATATAGATTAAAAGCATCCAGAGGCAATTAACAGATCTTCAAGTACTCTTAAATTCGAACGACGCAGAAGAAAGGGCACGAGCACAAGCAGAAATCCTGAGGCTTCAAGAAGAAATGAGAAATGCCTGTTCTGGAACCGCTGAATGATATTTTTATGCGCCCAAGATGCTGGCTCAAATAGATAAGCAAGCTAGTTAATAAAGTTTTTTATTTTAATTTCCCCCTACGGATTGTGAAATGCTGAGTAGAGAGCCATATTAATTTTGTTGTGGCAGTTAGATACTTCTTGAGAGATTGAGGAGATTGTGTTGATTGTGATTTTGCGACTCTATTTATTCTACAATGTACTAGCATAAATTTTATCTATTGCTGTCGGATTGCTTTCTTCTCTAATCTTTGATTTATCATAATCGGAGTTTACGAGGAACTACTAGACGTCTTAATTGTCTAAACAATCACTATTGGGCAGAACCGGATGCGAGGAGGATTTAATAATTAAGTGGACAAAATATAAAAAAGAAAACTAACTAATAAGTGTATTAATTTTGAACTTTTTTTTTCAATCGAGTATATTAATTTTTATTTTTTTCATTTCAGTATATTAATATGTTTATTTAAAAATGTCAATCAAGTTTTTTTTTTTTTTCAATTTTCAGCTAAATGATTATGTGATAGTTAATAGAAAAGATTCAATGACTATATTGCTCTTTTTTTTTTTTCCCTTTTCTCCTCCGAAATTATTGTTATTATTTAGTTATTAATAAAAAAAGAAAGCAAAGCAGCTTAATTAAACAGTAATAACAATTTGAAAGGAGAAAAGAAAGAAAAAAAGGTAGCATGGTCATTTAGTCTGTTTTGCTATCTTTTTTTTTTTAATTAATGATAAAACAGTAATAATAATTTAGGAGGAGAAAAAAATATAATTATTTAGTTTTCTTTATTAGTTGCCACATCATCACTAGACGAAAAATTGAACGAAAAAACTTGATTGATATTTTTTTAAGAAGTTGATATACTGAAAAAAGAAGTTGATGTACTCGAATGAGAAAATATTCAAAATTGAACTTATTAAAAATTGAACTTATTATGTAGTTTTTCCAAATATAAAATATATTTAAGTCAAATTTTTTGCATACGCTAATCACTCTTTGTACGTGCAATAAATCATCATACACTATTTCTCACTTTCTCACAAATACTTGCTGAACTCTCTATTTTAGCACACAAACTAATGACCAAAGAGCCATATTTATACTAGTCTAAGTATAACTTAAGAGACTCAAAAAAATTATTTCATCAATATATACCTGTACATATATCTATAATAATTAAAAAGGCATTTTGAAAAACTTTTAAAAAGTTCATGAATGTTGATAGTGTTAAATGTCTTGAGAAAATTCTAGAAAAGCTTAGGCTTTAGACTTGGGCTATGGATTTGGGCCAAGTCAAGTTTAATTTTTAACATCTCCTTTAAACTTGATTTGGTAACTCCAAGTAGAATTCTCAACTTATAAAATACTTCTTGCTTCAGTAGTTTTATGATATGTCGGCCACTTGATCTTCTAATCTTGCATACTTGACTTCCAATTCTGTTTTTGCAATGCATTCTCTAAGGAAATGGTAATGAATGTCGACATGCTTGCTCTTTTAATGGAAGATTGGATTTTTTTCCAAAGCAATCAATGAATTGTTATCTATATGCATATTTGTCGTTTTTTTCCCAACTCAGTTAATAAACTCCTTAGCCAGAGTAAGTGACAAGCACATAAGGTTGCAACGGCATATTCAGCTTCGCAAGTGAAGAGAGTAAATATGAGTTGCTTCTTTAAACTCTAGGTGAATTTGTATTGCCCATGTAAAATAAGAATCTAGTATTACTTTTTTCTATTATCCAAAGTCGGCCGCCCAATCATAATCATTGTAGTCCATAAGCTTGAAATTATCAAAACAAGTTTAAAGAATATTATAGTCAACTTTAATCTTGATATGTTAGAGAATTCTCTTAAGAACATTTCAAATAAATTATGGTAGGAATCTCCATATACTGACTGATGAGGCAACTCCAAAAAGAATATCGGGTATCACTATAAGAAATTCGATAAATAGTGATGGATTTTAGCGATAGATGTCAAACCATTGTTAAATAGTGATTAAATAGCATCGGATTAGCTTGCATTACCTTTAGCGACGTAATGGAGATTGATTTGCGACTAATTATTAGTGTCGAACGATTTTCATTGCTAAATATTATGCCAAAAATTATCTAGGAGTTTTAGTGATGGATTAGAGATAGATTAGTTATAGAAAATAGTCGCTAAAAAAATTGGCTTCTAGTAATGGCTTAACTCGTCACTATTTAGCAATGAAAATATTTCTATCGCTAAATGTTGATTTTTGGGGAGCCTTTGAAAATTCAAAGGCAATGCCCAACGTCATTATTTAGCAATAGACAATAATGTCCATTACAAAATAACAATTGGTTAGAGATGAGAACGTTCCCGTCACTAATCTCTCGCCCTTTAAATCCAAGTAGCAGCCCCTACCCCATTATTGTCCCCCCATTTCTCTTCATCCTCAAGTTGCCACCCCTCCCCCAACCCCTCAAAACGTCCACAAAACTCCCCTAATCCACAACCTCTTCAATCTTGTTTCTCCCAAAAAATCTCATTTTTTCTTCCTCCATTTCGGCCTATTTCACTCGAATTAGTTAAGTTTTTTTTTTTTTTTCTCTCTTTTATCTTCTTCATTAAAGTTAGTAATTTCTTTTTATAATTATTAGGTTAATTTCACATATAATTGCTTAATTTATAATTTTGTATACATTTAATTATTATTTTGTTGATTTATTTGATAAATTATTAATTTTTGTTAATTGTTTATGTTAATTTGTTGAATTGTTGATTTTTTTTTTAATTTTTAAGTTAATTTGTCAATTAAATGTAATTTAAATTTAATCAAAATTACTTTGTAATTAATTAAGATTATTTTATTCAAGTTTATTTAATTATAATTAGGTTAATTATGTTTAATTGGTTAAATTAGAATAAATTAGTTAACTAATTGTTTAATTTTTATAAATTAGGTTAATTTAATTGTTAATTTAAATTTAATTTGGTTAGAATTAGAATTACTTAAGTTAATTTGATTTATTTTTAGTTAATTAATTAGGTTAATTATGTTTAATTGGTTGGATTAGAATAAGTTTATGAATTAATTGTTATTTTGTTAATTAAATGTAAATTTTTTGTTAATTAAGTTAATTTCATTGTTATTTTAAATTTAATTTGGTTAGAATTAGAATAAATTAAGTTAATTTGATTTATGTTTAGTTAATTAATTAATTAATTAGGTTAATTATTTTTAATTGGTTGGATTAGAATAAATTTATTTCCTAATTATAATTTTTTAATTAAATATAATAATTTTTTAATTAAGTTAATTTAATTATTATTTTAAATTTAATTTGATTAGAATTATAATTAATTAAGTTAATTTGATTTGTGTTTATTTATTTAATTAATTTTGTTTAATTGGTTGAATTATAAGTTTATTTATATTAAAACTTGTTAATTTATTGTTATTTTAAATTTAATTTGCTTAACGTTAGAATTAATTAAGCTAAATTGATTTTTATTTAATTAATTAATTACGTTAATTATGTTTAAATGTTTGAATTATAACTTTATATATATATATTAAAAAATTTTAATTTATTTTAATTTTAAATTTAATTTGGTAAGAATTAGAATTAGAATTAGAATTAATTAATTAGGTTAATGATGTTTAATTGGTTGAATTGTAACTTCATTTATAATAATATTTTTTAATTTATTGTTATTTTAAACTTAATTATGTTAGAATTAGAATTAATTAGTTTAATTATTTTATATATAATTATTGAAGTGTGTCGAGATATGCTATAGTGTATTGAACCTCGGGGATCAGAGACCATCGAGAATTGTGGAGAAATAAGGTTGATTCAATTCTCCGTGATAGAGTGAGAAGGATGAGTTTGTGATTTAATTTCAATAGAGTATTCGAGAAAATTATTGCTCTCAATGTGCGTAATATTTGTGTGATCATTTAGAGTATTTATTAACCGAGAAAGGTGTAATTTGTAGGGAAGACTTTATCAAAATTTTGTTAGATAATCGGAAAAGCTAATATTTAAATAAGTTTAGTATGCCTTGGAAATACATAAACAAAATAATGAGGTTCGATTGTGAATTGATGTATGTTAGGTGTATCGATAGATATTCACATGATAATTTTATGAATGGGGTTAAAGAATTTACTCGCATTTTAGATGTGTTGAATTTTGTTTATTTTAATTCATAATAATTCATAATATATTTTCTCGTCAAATTGTTATTCATTTGTTAAACTCGTTTTAGGTGCTATTCTTGAGTCATGATAGGCGGATTTGATCGCGGTGTCAATGGACGTGGCTTTGATATTGACCGTGTGATTGATAATGGTGGTGTATGTGGACATGACATTACTAGTTCAACTCGTCTAAGGTTACGAACTTGATAGTGGTACCAGCATATCCGCATCCTCTCTAGTAGTGCCCCTACCGACAATGTCCCATGCCGTGGATGATCTCATTACAGTTTTCTCAAATTTAAGAAGTTTTACTAGATGTGATAATGGACGAACCTTTTAAGTCGTGAATAACGGATAAGTAATATGTTTTACATGCGATAATTAGTTTTATATTTTCATTTATTTAAATTTAATCATTAATTAATTAATTTTGTTCAATAGTTTGATTCCATCAAGCAAGTGCTTCATAAAAAATCATTGTAACTTTCAAAGAGCAATTGGACGTCGCTAGTTTCACATGGAGGTCTCGTCTCTATGAAGAAGAAAGGCTTTTACTTCAATGAATTTATGGTAAAATATTAATTTTTTTTAGATTTCATTTAAAGTATTAATTTAACATGAAAAACACTAATTTTTTTATTTTTATATAGAAGTCCTATTTATGAGATGCGATTGTTGACGCACCGATTACGAATGCATGGGAGAGTCTAGCACAAAGAAAGTATAACGACAAGCTCAAAAAGTTGAAGCATAAAGATAACAAACATGTGTTTGTTAAATAAGAGGTGTGGAAAGTATGACATCGAGATTGGGTCACTTTC